TTTTTTGTGTCATATGCACTTTAATGTTCATTTTACTTTTTTTCTTTAATTCTCAGGTTCAAAAATTACAAAGAGCGTCATTACAAAATCCAGTAAAAGTAGAGGTTGCAACAAAGTGAGTGAATTAATCCTACTGAGGAAGCTTTCCCGCTTTTATGGGTGATATTCTGTACAAAATACTACAACGATCTAGGACAATACTACCAGTTGAATAAGTGTCAGTCAGGCCCTTCATTTGGGGTAGTTCAAAAATGCAAAATAACTCAAATTGTTATAGGGCTTTTAAATTGTGAGGTATTTCCTGGTCCAATCACACAAAAGATCGCTAAAATCTTGCTACAACTTATTCCCAGGATTTATTCTTTACCTTCAACAATTAGAATAATCTCTTTAGAAGTAATTATTAATTTGGACCCGGAAGTCATTTTTCTTTCAAATTACTTCACACTCTATAATTTAGCTGGGAGGGGGTAGGTTTATAGCTGGAATTTTATGATATATATATTATTTATAGTATGGTACATGTATGTATTTTAAAATTGTCTTGATTTCTTATACTATTTTTTTAGATATCAAACTGTGGAAAAGTTACAACAAAGTTATTTATTTGTTCCATCTAAGTTTAAGGTTTGTATTACAATATTACTTATATTATGTCTTAGAAAAATTAAACAACAACAGCGACAACAACAGCAAGAAAAAGCATCACCAAAAAAACATTAGCAACAACAACAGCAATAACATTGACTACAGCAATAGCATTGACTAAAGTATCAACAACAACAGCAATAGCATGGACTACAGCAGCAGCAATAACAGCAATAGCGTGGACTACAGCAGCAGCAGCAACAGCATTGACTACAGCAGCAACAACAACAGCAATAACATTGACTACAGCAGCAAAAACAACAGCAATAGCATTAACTACAGCAGCAACAGCAATAGCATTTACTACAGCAGCTACTACAACAGCAATAGCATTGACTACAGCAGCAGTAACAAAGGGCAAAGAAAAAAACGGCAAATAACTCTTCCATTTGTGGTAATTTGACTTTAATGGTCAATAATGTGAATATATTTTTTCTTATTCCTAGGATTGTTATCTGGTTTATGTCCTCAATGAACTGGCAGGCAACTCATTCATGGTGTTTTGTGGAACATGTAATAATGTACAAAGGTAAATGATTCTATGAAAAAATGATTCTTGTGTGTTTAAGATGAAAGCTTGAAATTTGAAAATTTTAAATTTTATCAACACCCTGAAACAACCTCTGGACTAATCCAAGTCTGGCACCAGGGGTGGATCTAGGCGACTTTGACTAGTTCCACATGTAATGCAGCGTCACGCCAAATGTACTTGAGTGGAACCTGTTGCAAATTCCCATGATACCCTACCCATGAACATATTTTTTTGCTCAAACAAAAGATTACCAAACACAAACCGGAAATATACCGAGTTTGTCACAAATAAAGAGTTGTTTGAGCTTCCTGTGGTGGAAAAATTGCATCAAGATTGTTTTAAGAATAATTTCGTTTAATATTTATTCTTTTTTTTTTAAAGTTTGACTAGTTCCTTTTAACTAGTGGAACTAGTCTGGATTCACCCCTGCTCACACTCGGTAAAAGTAGACGTTTCATTTCTCTTCAGGGTAACATTGATGATAAGAAACTTAGGCTTAGATGCAGTTCCACTCCATGGACAGATGTCGCAGGTATGGCACTCGCTTTAAACCCCATATGACATATATTTGACAATTATTTGCTGAAGGCCAAGTGAATATCAGAGAACATTTACCGAGACGCGAGTCTTCGAGCAGCAAGGTACATAGTCCCCGATATTCACTGAGGCTGAGGCAAATAATCTTTTTAGTATAAATACACAGGTGATTTTTTCAAAAAAAAGGAAAAAAAAGAAGATTAAAGACATTTTTTTCCAGTAACAGCTACAAAGCGGCTGGCTGCCATTTTGGATTATTGCTAGAGGTGATTATCGTGTGATAGTGTAAGTTTCTTGACCAATCAGGGTGTGAGATTTTCAATAATAACCTGTGTATTTTTACTAAACACATATACACAGTACAAAATATATCTATTCGAACAAAATTTTTACCAAAACCCTAAAAAGCCAAGGACATTAAGGAACAATAAAAGCATCTAAGGCCAAACAAAAAAAAAAGTGTGTTTCCTGTTGCATGAGAAAAATAATTGGGGTCGGTAGGTCAGTTTTTTTTACTGATACAACAGTTGAAATGAGCTTAGTGGGAACCCTGTGGTGCATTTGGGAATGAAAAAAGCATTAGGGTCGGTAAAATTCGGCAAGAAAATTAGGGTCAGTCATGCAACAGGAAACACTTATTTTTTTTGTTTGGTCTCATATCAAAAACGTTAAACTTTTGATACAAAATGCAGTTTGAGGATGCTCACAGGAGACAAAACTGTAACTAGTAAGAGATCTCAAGTCCATGCCCTCGTGTACACAGCCTCTTGGAATAATTGTTTTAAATGTTATTTAGAGTAAACGTCTGGGAGCACTTAACAAGTTTAAATCCAAGTCAAGATCAATCTTGGTGGCTACCGATGTTGCAAGTCGTGGATTAGATATTCCACATGTAGATGTGGTTATTAATTTTGATATCCCAACACATTCTAAGGTAAAATTAATACAGTGCTTTAAGAATACGGCGGCCATCTTGCAAGGTGGCAAAATAAAATGAGTACAACATAAAATATATAGAGTTTCATATGTTTGTCTTTCTTTTATGGTTAAAGGTGATCAATGTGCCGTTTTAATTCATCTTTGTTGTATTCTCTTGTGGTGAGCTGTTGATATCAAGCAATGTCATTACTGAAACAAAGCTCTATTTGCCCCCTGGATGCCCCATGATGCCTTGCGATCCAAGATGGCGGCCGTATCATCTAAGTGGCCCATTGACCTAATTCATCTTGGTGCAGTGTTTTCCCATTACAGACCAAATGTCATTCCATAGAGTATCATTTCTTTGTTTAAAGGTTTTGCACGAGAAGACAAATGAATATGGATACAAATAAAACAAAGAATTATTATTATTCTCAAGAGAATGACATGTGGTCTGAAATGAGAAAACATTACAACCACATTAAAGTCTGACCAAATAGTTCACGCTAATTTTGAGGAAGATATATAGAGGCTTTGCACCATCATGTAATGGCAGCCATGACAGGAGGCAGGAACAATTGAATCTGGTCTAATCTGATTTACATTAGAAAGAATTCAGTTTCCCAGGGGAGAAAGACTCTATTGTTGTGCCTCCTGTCATCACGTGATGTTGCAAAGCCTCTATTCACAAAGTTGTAATCGCATACCTCTAATCTAGAGATTTCGCTGGAAAATAATCCATCTTGATAGTCAAATCTTTTTTTACAGGACTATATTCATCGCGTGGGAAGAACTGCTCGTGCAGGAAGGTCAGGCCGTTCTTTAACATTTGTCACTCAGTAAGTGATGATTCGTTGTTTGGTGTGTTGCAGTGTGACTACTTCAATCAGGGCCACCTAGACAGCAAGAACCAATCAAATTAGAGAATGAAAACAATACATTTAAACTTTGGGTAGTGCAGCCAATCAGAAAGCAACAGTAAACATTAGCCTTTCAACATATTTTTTCATTCCGAAAAAAAATGAGGATGGCTATCTTGTTATTTACACAACGTAACATCAGGGTCAAATTACAATTCTCGTGCAGTCTAGTTTTCTGATTGGCTTTACATTGGATTGGCATTGTTTTCGAATTGATTCTACAATTTGATTGGTTCTTCCTTTCTAGGTGGAACCGATTGTAGTAGTTTCACAGTAAGTAGCATTTAAAAAAACTCTTAATCGACCCAGATGTAAAAGATCTTTTCTTGGGGTGCTTGTTACGTCATAGCTGCCATGTTGGTTGACGATAACAAAGCATTCCTCATTAGCTTCTCTTGTTAGACCAGCCAACATGGTCGCTGTTTGAATGGTATCCTACTATCCTTGGGGTGCATGTTACATCATGGCCGCCATGTTGGTTGACAATAACAAAGCATTCCTCATTAGCTTCTCTTGTTAGATCAACCAACATGGTGGCTGTTTCATTGTTTATTATATCTCGAGGGATTTGGAGTCATTCGATTGCATCCCACAATACAGCGACAAACTTATCAAATTATTTCCTTAATTCAGATATGATGTAGAATTATATCAACGAATCGAACAACTGATTGGCAAAAAGCTGCCATTATATCCTACAGTAGAAGAGGAAGTTATGCTGTTAAACGAGAGAGTTGCGGAGTCACAACGGTTTGCAAGAATGGTAGGTATTGCTCGGTTTCTCTAGACATTTCCTGTCTTGTGCGAAATGTTCATCAGCTGAATCACAAGTTTTGAGTACAGTAGAATTCTTTCTGGCTGACAGCACATGGTGGTCAGTGTTTGATCACCATTTGGAGCAGCACAGACTTTCATTAGTTAATCGTAGTTCAAAATTAATTTCGAGGTGATTGAATTTTTTTGGAAAGGACATGAAATCTTTCCCCAGCTCTTTGTGAACCCTTGTAATTCTATAAACCAATCAAATTGCAGGAGATCACTGATCATCCAATTAGAATGCTCGCATATGATTACTGCCAAAGCGTTTCATACAACGGTTTTCCTAGGAATGGCAAACGCTGATTTTCACTTTTGCCTTCATATTTTCAAAAGAGTTTTCACATTCGAATGTGAAAAGAGATTTTAAGGGTTAGTGTCTATTACTAGCTTTACTTTAGGCATGTTGTTTCTAACTCATACGAAAACCCTTTGAGAGTGGGGTTGACTTTTATCAAAGCTATACTTGCTTAATATATGAGCGTGTCCATTGTACATCTATTCCTACGATTGCGTCAAAGTGGGAACTGTTTTACGCTTGTCAGAAAATGATGAACTCAAAAAAGAAATTTTTTTTTTAGGAACTTCGAGAAATAATGGAAAAGAAAAAGAGACCAGCCGAGGAAGAAGATGACGAGCAAGGTGTTAAAATCCCATCCAAAAAGTCAAAGAAAATGGTTAAAGGCGGGAAGAAGAAGAAAAGGAAATAACTGAAGGTTTGACTAAGAATACTTTAGACAAAATATGGCTCCAATTTATATTTATTTTTTACCACAAACAAACAAACAAAACAAAACAAAACAAAAACAAAAAAAAAAAACCAAAAATGTAAAAAAAGAAACAAAAAAGGGAGAAGAGAAAAAAATGGAATAGAGAATTTTGTTATTATTTTATGACGCAATTGATAATATTTTTCCTATAATGATCTCAGACACTTCCGGAAAAAACATAAAATGGACGTTTTTCGCGTGGCAGCCATGTTGATTTGAACAATAGATTCCACTCCGCGTAGCCTCGCATTCATTGCTTGAGAATTAATTTATGCGAGTAAAACAAGGTTTTTTATTTTCTTGAGGAAACATGGCCACCGTGTGATAAAGGTCCGTTTATTTAAAAAAAAAAAAAAAAAAATGGGGGGAAAGCAAAAATAAGGACAAGAGAAATTTTAGTATGTTATGATGTACGGATATTATATCTCAGACACTTTCGGCTTGTCTGTAGTTAAAWAAATTTACGTTAACGCTCCTATTCATACTTCTTTCTAMAAAAAAAAAAAAAGAAAAAAAAACACCGAAAAGAAAAAAGAAAATAATAAGAGAAAAAATGGGGCAAAATAACGCTGGTAACTGATATTATTTTTGGAGGTCATACAAACGAGAACCGCTTATCAAAGTGAATCTACAGCACGATATTAACTCATCTTCATGCGAATTCAGTGTCATTTCGATAATTTTCGATAATAATTTTCACTTTATCTCTAGTCCATGCCATGAACATAGCGAGGTTTCGACCGTTGGGGTGACAAATTTGACAAAATTTACTATTTTCCCGCCAATACACACGCGCACGCGTTTTCATCTTCAGAGTTTCCCGCCAAATAAAATTTCGGTGCCGAGACGCAAGATGCAAAATAGTAATTCGAAGTCGTATTCAAAGGAAAATTATCAAAATAATAAATACTGATAAAAAAAACTATACTCGTAATTATTTCACAAAAAGTAATAAATGCTTCAAATTTAAATGTCTTTAAAACGGAGAAAACGGAGATTGGTATTACATCGCTAGCAATTACTATAGACTGTATGCACTTTAAATTTGTACAGACAATGAATGGTCCCACGAAGTGGCGTATTGACCGTATCCTTTCCTTAAAACAACGAACTCGTAGTACTTTACGTAAGTTTTGCGGAATAAAATACTATGGCTAATCTTAATCAGCTTACATATCGTACATTAGCATTCAACATATTCTTTCACTATATTATCATGAGACTTTCTCTTTTGAAGAGAAGGACAACCACGGGTCGCCTTCCTAGGAACGGCCGGACTTCTTAGCCGAAAGGCCTACCGACGTTAAATAAAGTTCTTTTACCTTGATGTTCAGGGTTAAGTCGCTATCCTTAAAGTGTCTGAAGCAGACTTTAGTTTCCGAAGTGATTTGAGAAAAGCTCATCGAAATAACGAGACTTTCTACCGTCTCCGCGATATTCCTTTTGGGTACATTCAGGCAACAATCCAACTTTATTTACAGTCTACAATATTAGATATCAAAACAAGGCTGGTCTGCTATAGCTAACAGTAATATAACAATATTGTACAAGATGAGTGGCGTACTATTGAATGGCGATAATCCAACTTCATTACAGTCTACAATATTAGGTATTAAGACAAAGCTGGTCTGCTATAGCTTACACTAATATAACAATATTGTACAAGATGGCGTACTATTGAATGGCGATTATCCAACTTCATTACAGTCTA